CCCATCTCACCCCAAAAATCCGCTCCACACAACTTCCCACAGGGACTCAAGCGCCTCTCGCCCCAAAACGAGCGTCTCCCCCAAGGCCAAACGCGTCCCCCCTCCCCGCCTTCGGGGCAGGAATCCCACCTGGACCCACTCATTGAAGAGGTTGAGCAGCGTCAGGGGGTCGCCGTGGGGGCTCTCGAGGGGCCGTCGGGCGGTGGCGCAGTCGGGATTGGGGTGAGAGGGTCGCAGGAACGGCGACGGAACGCTCAGCGCCGCCGCCACCGTCAGGGTGGGCTCCGCCAGCCCAAAAAGAGCGCCCAAGACCAACATCTTCCCTGCGCGGGGAGGGCAGAGGAGACGGTGAAGACCCCGCCACGCTCCTCGCACCATCGCCTCTGCTCCAACGAGGTTTTTTTTCCTAAATTACTCACCAACCACCACGTCCACCGGCAGCTGAGCCAACAGATTCCCGATGGGCGTCAGGTTTTCAGCCTCATCCAGGGCTCCCTGCTCCCTCAGGTACCGCACGGCCGTCTCCAGGCTGGAGGATGGAGGAGGCTCCAAAAAGGGGAAGGTCCGGGGGTCGCCCAGCCCCATACTCTTTAACTACAAGAAAAGGAGACGGAGAATGAGCTCAGCGCCGCCGGGAAGAACCCGGAGGTTTCACGAAGAGCCAGCGCGGTCTCACACTTGGCTTGTCTGCGTTTCCCCTCCATCGTCTTCCCAAATTTCCCCCCCGATGGGAGAAGAGGGATCCTCAATTTTACCTGGAGCACCAAAGAATCCAGCGCTACCCGCTGGATCTCCGGCACGGGGTAGGGGGAAAAGGCGTCGTAGTCGGATTCGGCGTAAAGACGGTAACAGACACCGGGTCCGGTTCTACCGGCACGTCCCTTCCGCTGCTCGGCGCTTGCCCGGCTGATCCAGAACTCCTGCAACCGCTGGAGTTTGCCCTGAGGGTCGTAGCTCATCTCCTTCACCTTCCCTGGAGAAAGGAGGAGGAGGAGGAGGGAAGGAGAAGCTCAGGACAGGGCAGGAGGGAGGGAGAAGTGTTTCCACCCAGCGTCGAGGGGGCATTTGTACCGGAATCCAGCACGAAGCGCACGCCGTCGATCGTCACCGAGGTCTCTGCAATATTGGTGGAGAGGATGCACTTACGGACGCCGGGAGGAGGCACGTCAAACACCTGGAGAAGGAGAAACGACGGTCCTTACGGCAGCAAAGCTGTCCCCGGAGAAGGGAGGAGGCAAACGCAAGGCTGCACCCAACGGCGGCACCCCAAAAACACCCACAACCGGGGCGCAGCCGGGCTGAGGGGGATTCTTTATCCACCCAACAGTTCCGAGAGTTGGCGGAGGTGCTCCCCAAGCCACGGTCCATCATTTTCCACACGAGTGCTGAATCCCACCCCGGTGTCTCTCTGGGATCACCTACCTTATCCTGCTCGGTGACGGAGCTTGGAAGTGTTAGGTCAAGGATTGGACTAGGTCTTACAAGTCTTTTCCAATCGAGGAGATTCTGCGATGATTCTTCGCTCTGCGCCACCCGAGTGCCGAATCCCACCCCAGCATCTCTCCAGGGTCACCCCTGTTCCACCTACCTTATCCTGCTCGGTGATGGAGCTTGGAAGTGTTAAGTCAAGGATTGGACTAGATCTTACAGGTCTTTTCCACTCGAGGAGATTCTGCGATGATTCCTCGCTCCACGCCACCCCAGTGCCGAATCCCATCCCGGCATCTCTACGGGATCACCTACCTTATCCTGCTCGGTGACGGAGCTTGGAAGTGTTAAGTCAAGGATGGGACTAGATCCTACATTTTTTTCCAGTCGAGGAGATTTTGCGATAATTCTTCGTTCCGCACCACCCGAGTGCCGAATCCCACCCCGGCGTCCCTCCGGGATCACCTACCTTATCCTGCTCGGTGACGGAGAGGGTGCTGTGTAAGGGGAGGACAATCCAGCGTTGGGTACGGGCGGCGTAAGCCTGCGCCGCTTCCAGCACGGCGCCGATCTCGGCCACCCCGCTGAGGAACACCAGCAGGTCGCCGCGTTCCTCCGGTGGGTACTTGTGATCGATGGCTTGGAGCACCCGCAGGTAGGGGAGGGGATCCAGGCGCTCCGATTTCCCCGATTTCCCCACGGCGGACGCTTCTTCCTTCGGGATGGGTTGGTAGATGACCTGCAGGAGCAGAGAGGAGGAGGATGTTGTCTCCGGATAGACTCAAGGGAGTGATTTGTGCCCGTGCCGCGCCGGGATTCATCCCTAAAATCCTCACCGAGATGGGGAAGATCCTTCCCGGCACCTGCAGCACCGGAGCGCCCCCAAAATAACCGGAAAAAAGGCTGATGTTGATGGTGGCCGACATCAGAATCAACTTAAGGTCGGGCCGAAGGGGAAGGAGGCGTCGCAGGACCCCCAGGAGGAAATCGCTGTGCAGATGTCGCTCGTGAACCTCGTCGGCGATGAGGACGCGGTAGCCGGGCAGGGCGGGCTCCCGCTGGACCTGCCGCAGCAGCAGCCCCTCCGTCAGGAAGAGGATCTTGGTGGCGGGCGAGCGGGTGCTCTCAAAGCGGATCTGGTAGCCCACCTGGGGCGGGAAGAGAACAAATAGCGGATAAATTCGAATAAATTCAAAGAAAACTGAATGAAACCGAATAAAATCGAGAACTGATTAAAATCGAGTCAAATTGAAAACTGAATGAAATCGAATAAAACTGAATAAAATCAAATAAAATTCAATAAAATGGAATAAAGTCAAATAAAACCGAGTAAGACCGCTTATGCGGACTAAATAAAACCAAATCAGACCAAATAAGACCGCATAAGACCAAATAAGATCGAACAAAACTGAATCAAATCAAATCAAATTCACTAAGATCAAGTGAAACGGAATAAGATCGAATAAAACGGAATAAGATCGAGTAAAACGGAATAAGATTGAGCTAAATAAAACCGAATAGAATGGAATAGAACCAAATAGAACAGAATAGAACGGAATAGAACGGAGTAAAACGGAGTAAAACGGAATAGAACAGAGTAAAACGGAATAGAACGGAGTAGAACGGAGTAGAACGGAATAGAACGGAATAGAACGGAATAGAACGGAATAGAACGGAATAGAACGGAGTAGAACGGAATAGAACGGAGTAGAACGGAGTAAAACGGAATAGAACGGAGTAAAACGGAATAGAACGGAGTAAAACGGAATAGAACGGAGTAAAACGGAGTAAAACGGAGTAAAACGGAGTAAAACGGAATGGAACCAAATAAAACCAAATAAAACTGGGTATTTCAGTCGGAAGAGAGCACACCAATTCCCCGCTGCCCCTCTCTGACCGCTTCAGGACTACCCAAAAACTAAAAGATCTCATTTTTCTCTTAAACCCTGACAGACGCGGAGCAGCGCCGCCCCGGGGAAGTCTCTCGAGGCGTTTAACCCCTCCACCTCTGGGTAACGAAACATTTCCGAATATCCGAGTCCTGAACCCGCAACCACCGACCTCTCCGGCGAGTCCCCAACACCTCCCAGTTCAGTCCCATCGCCCCATTCGCCTTGATAAATGTATCAATATATTTCTTTTAATAAACATATATTGATATTCCCACGATTTTTTTGAGCTGAATTTGGAGCCCTGCGCAATCGCCTCGGCAACCGGCCGCCAGCCAGACGTAGCCCGCTTCGCTCCAGCCCGTTCTCTCCCCCAGTAACAAAGCGGGGAGAAACCAGCAGCGCCCCAAAAACTCCCAGTTACCCCAAAACCAGCCGGGAAAAAAGAAAATAAAACCCACAGTCACCAACTGGCGAAGCCCACCTGGTTTCCGTACTGGTGCAGGCTCTCGAAGCCCACCCGTTTGGCCAACGAGACGCAGGCGATGCGGCGAGGGTGGGGACAAGCCACGTGGGTATAACCCGGCACC